GCATTAATATAGCCGTTCCAGCTTTCCTCTAGTTTGAGTTTGTATAGTATATCTTCTTCTTTCATTTAATTCTTAAGCTGACTCTGCCTTTATATTAAAAGCATGTCTCCTATAAACGTCTAACACTGAGTCTTGCTGTTTTATCTAATCTGACAATCTCCACCTTTTAAATGTAGTTTTTATTTCATTTATATTTATTGTAGATAATCAAATGTTTGGGTTTAAATCTATTATAATTCTATTTGTTTTCTATTCGTCCTATATATTCATTATTTCCTTTTCCCTTACTGCCTGGTTTTTTGATTGATCAAGTATGTTTTCATGCTTCATTTTTTCTCCTTTATGCATACTTAGCTATTCATGAATTAGTTTTTTAGTGGTTGCTGTAAGATTATGATATACATCCATAACATCACAATCTACTTGAATCAATATTATACTACTTCCCATACAACGTAAGAAACTTACAAAAATACATTTACTTTTTCTCTCTCCCTTCACGTGCTACTGTTGTCAGAAATTTTACGCCTACATATGTTATAAGCCCTACAACATGTGAATAGTTTTACTTTTAAAAGCAAGTTGGCTTTCAAAGAAATTAGGAAATTAGAAAAAATTTTCATACTTTTATACATATTTACCATCTTGAACTTCTCATTTTTGTGTGTTGATTCAAATTTCCTCTGCTACAATTTTCATTCAGCCTGAAGAACTTCCTATAACATTTCCTGTAGAGCAGGTGTGCTGGTTACAAAATTTCCCAACTTTTTTGTTTCTGAATATGAATTATTTCATCTTTATTTTTGAAAGCTATTTTCTCTGGAAATAGAATTCTAGATTCACAATTTTTCCTTTTAGCACTTTAAAAAATGTGCCATTGTGTTCTGTCTTACATTGTTTCTGATGATAAGTCAGAGTCTTTCTTATTGTTGTTCCTGTGTTAGTAAGGTGAGGAGTTTTTTTCTGCCTACTTTTAATATTTTTCTCTCTCTCTCTGAATTTTGGCCAGCCCGGTGACATAGCAGTTAAGTCTGCACACTCAGCTTTGGCAGCCTGGGGTCACCAGTTCAGATCCCAGGTGCAGACCTACGCACCACTTATCAAGCCATGCTGTGGCAGGCATCCCACATACAAAATAGTGGAGGATGGGCACAGATGTTAGCTCAGGGCCAGTCTTCCTCAACAACAACAAAAAATCATAAACAATCTATGTCTATCAACAGGGGCTTGGTTAAACAGACTAGGTTACATCATCCCAGAAGAATAGCACACAACTATTAGAAGTACAAGGTTGGGGTATACATCCTCCTTTGGAAAGAATGTTCATGACATTGACAAATGAAAAACAAAACAGCTTCAGAAAACTTTGCATAACATCCTATTTTTTGTACTATAGTATCTACATAGTACCCCTTTTTTTTTTTTTTTTTTTAAAGATTTTATTTTTTCCTTTTTCTCCCCAAAGCCCCCCGGTACATAGTTGTGTATTCTTCGTTGCAGGTTCTTCTAGTTGTGGCATGTGGGACGCTGCCTCAGCGTGGTCTGATGAGCAATGCCATGTCCGCGCCCAGGATTCGAACTAACGAAACACTGGGCCGCCTGCAGCGGAGCGCGCGAACTTAACCACTCGGCCACGGGGCCAGCCCCCATAGTACCCCATTTTTAAAATATCTTTTTTAATATCCCATTTTTATGCTTGTATATAAAATTCTAGAAGCAGCTATTCCAGAGTATTAATCATAACTATTTAAGAGAAATTCCTGGGGAATTTTTACTTTTTCCTCATTTATTCACTTTATTTGGGGGGTTTTATTTTAATAAGAATATGATTTTTTTTCTTGCTGAGGAAGATTCAGCCTGAGCTAACATCTATGCCAATCTTCCTCTGTTTTTTGCATGCGTCGCCACCACAGCCTGGCTGCCAATGAGCGGTGTAGGTCCATGCCCAGGAACCGAACCCTGGCTGCTGAAGCAAAGCACACCAAACTTAACCATTAGGCCACAGAGCCAGCCCCAAGAGTATGATTTTTATGATTGGGAAAAACAAGAACTTCCATTAATAAATCTTCCATCTCACACGTCACTCAATCAGTGTGGCATGAACTAAATATTTTGTCCCTTCAAAATTCATACATTGAAATCCTAACTCTCAAAGATGATGGTATTAGGAGGTGGGGGCTTTGGGAAGTCCTCAGGTCAAGAGGGTGGAGCCCCTTGAATGAGATTAGTGCCCTTATAAGGAGAAACAAGAGAGAGGGCCTCTCTCTCCATCCCTCTCTGCCATGTGAGGACATAATGAGAAGACGGCTGTCTGCAAACCGGAAGCTCTCACCAGACACCAATCCACTGGCACCTTGATCGTGGACTTCTCAGCCCCCATGACCGTGAGAAATAAGTGTGCTGTTAAGGCCCTCAGCCTCTGGTAATTTGTTCTAGCAGCCTGAGCGAAGACAATCCTCTGTGGGAAAGGGGGGCCTAATGTTCAGAGGCACCTGGCCCTAAGCCCCACCCAGAGGTAGGTTGATCCCGTGACCTGCCTCTGTGGCATCTAGCCACAGGGACTCAGTCTTTGAGCCAGTGGGACCTCTGAGGTGGCCAGCACAAGAGCTTGGCTCCACAAGGGTGAGAGATATCAACTCCACTGCCTACAGGGGCCAGGCGAGATCCACATGAAGGGCCTGCGTCAGGGGGCTGCAGCACCTGGGGAAGGAAAAGAGGGCTGGGAGCGGCAGGGCAGCTGACCCAGGGGCACTGTGGGGAAGTCTTGTGGCAGTGAGCTGGGCACACAGTCTCAGGGCTGCCTGGGCCCTGCCCGCCTTCAGTTCCCCAGGGTCCTGTGGCTCCCACACCTGGCATGTGAGGCACCTGTTCGCCCTCTGTCCCTTAGGACCTGCATAAGAAACGCCCATGCCTGAGGGACACCCCAGGCATTTCTGCTACTTGTACCCTACCAGAGTCTACCCAACACACGTCATGGGACAAAGCAAGGAGAATCCTTCTTTTTATGAGTCATGGCATTTCTTCCCACATAGCTATTATAAACTAATGGTCCATCTTACTACCACTGACAGTGTCTGAGACTCGAGGACATACAGTACTAGGTATTAAGTAATTGTTTACTGCACTAAACAGAATTATTACCCTGAAACCATAAACGGCTAATCCTTTTGAGTAAGGAAGCAAATAAAAAGCCAATCTCGATGAACTCAATTCCTCCCTGAGTCTCCCTTCTAACAGCCCTGTCATTGGTCACCAAACCTCTGGAGCCATAGCTTAAGAACATTCCCTCCAAAGGCGAAGTGGCTGCAAGTCTGATCTGTGTTGAATCAAAGGCAATGAGTTCAACAGTCTTCAGGAAGAATGGTAGGTCCCCCCAACACCCTGAGCCCCAAGGGGGAGGTGACAAGCTACAGGTCGATAGGAGACTCAGGTCAGAGGTCCCGAGGGGAAGGCCTCCCTCCCCTGCACTTCCATATTCATAGCACACCCAACGCAACACCCTTGACAGTGTGGACAGCAGTGTGGACGTTTGTCATAGTGAGTTCCCCAGTACCCCTTCCACTCACCGTTCCTTCTTCCATAGAAACATTTCAGCTCCTCCCTTCTCTGCAGTCTTTTCAATGAGATGCTTGAAGATTAATTACAGACAACACTGACACTAAGAGGCTTTCTCCCTGAGTCTGATCATCCATGCAAATGTTTGACATCTTGCTGATTTCAGGACCCAAACTCCCACATCTCAGTCCTGGTTCCTGGGTTTCCTGGACTTCCAGAAATACAGACCAGTTTGGATATCTGACACGGAAAAGCTTTGTGTCAACTTTGCCAATTTGTTTTTCGACATTCCTCCCAAGTACTCAAGAAGATGGAACTGATCCTTAGGTTGCCCTTGATAGCATCCTGCCCCAGCACAGACCCCTGGACTCTACACATGGTTGGGCATCCCCACTCACAGCCCAGGCCAGGGCAGCCCCCCTCCTTTGCCTTCAGCTTCTCCACCTCTTCCACCTCCACCCCCAGTTCTAACTATTCTTGACAGGAATGACCCTTTGGCCACATAGGTTGACAGAAAAATCCTCAATTCTTGCATTTTCTCAAAAGACACACTGAAATGCATTGGGAGGAGAGGGTTCTTGCACATTCTTGACCATCTAACAGATCACTGATGGGAAGACAAAAATCCTGTTCCATTATCTTATAAACTCTTTTCCCTTCTCTTCTCACAAAAGAGGGATTCAAACAAGATCTGCAGACCCAGGCAGCATCCACTCGGTTTCCCCTGCCACCTGCTTCAGAACCTATGACAGCACCACCCCCGACTGTCTCAGCACACAGCTGTCACCAGCGGGTCCCTGGAGCGAGTCAGGAGGGGTGGGAGGGCCTCTGTGTCCATCCAGCTCCGACACCACAACACACAAGCACAGTGAGAATTCCACTTGGCTTAAAAATAGCAGCCTCTTAATTGTCCAAGGCCCACTAAACTTGGAGACTAATACTTGCACAAAACAGCAACTCCTGGAACTGAGGGGGTGTCTCATGGAGCTCCACTGGTCACCGAATAACGAGCACTCGTGTCACTCGCTGTCCACAAGAAAAATCCATTTGAGCAAACACAAAAATAATCATGAATTGATCTGCCTGAGCCTTGGAGTTAATTAAATTGGGTCCGATGAACTTTAGACGAAAGACTTACATATAATGATTATAATAATCATAATAAACAAGGATAATTAGAATATTTTTGGCTCTCCCAGTCACTACCCCCGGGAGTACCACAGTAAAGGGGGTTTCCGTGCACAGATACCCCGGATGATAGCAGAGGTGACAGCCACGGAACAGCCCCCAGAGGACCGAGGCAAAGCTCTTTGACCTTGACTCTGGATCAAGATGGGCAGCGACTGTCACAGATGATGTGTGAGGGCCCTCAGTGCCTCCTGCCTGGCCTCTCCTGCTCCCACTGCCACCTTCACCATCCCCTCCTCCTGGTGACTCTTACGCACTCCGAGCTCCCTCTTGCCCATGGTTCTCCTGCCTCGTGACCCCCGAATCAGGCCAGGCTGTAGAAGGGAAGGTCAAGGGGAACGTGGTAGAAACCCTGAAATAGAAAGAAGATGTGATCCTTCAGGTACAACGACAGTGATACCCATCAACACCTCCCCTGAGAGACTGTTGTAGAGAGCGAGGTTACCGAGATGAAACGGAATCAATATACAAGCAAGAGTGTGCTCCCAAACTGCCTCTCTGCCTCAACACCCTCCCGCCAACGTGAGGATCCTAAAACAGGAGTCACTGCCATCTCCTGTGGCGTCACGCCCCTTAGGGGACATCCGAGGACCCCATGATCCGGCCCCTGACTCCCACTCTGCCTTCATCTCCTCCACTTTCATCTTACACTTGATGTTCCACCAATCTGATCTAGTCGCTGCTTGAGTTGGTTTCCTGTGGCTGCTGGAACAAACTACCACAACTCTAGTGGCTTAACTCGACACCAGTGTATCACCTTACAGTTCTGGAGGTCAGGAGGCCAAAACGGGACTTCCTTGTTCCTCAAACAAACGCACTTATCATTCAAAATCCTTCTCAAGTGTTACACCCTCTGTTACCCACTGAACCTGCAAAACCTTGAATTGCGCCCATATTACATTAAATTATTGATGTGTGTGAGCTCCCATTAGACTGAGAACACACAGTGTCTGCCATGTCAGGAAACCTTTGCCACCAAACAGAACTGCCGCCTTTGTCATGACTTAAATTCCCTTTGCAGATAGTGGGTTGGATTCCTGGCTTGTCCGTTCTTCCTCTGATTTAATTGCCTATTCCTAGACCAATACCATACCACTGTGATTGCACTGACTTTCTAGAATGTTCTGACATCTGAGAAAACAAGAGCCTCTTGTCGGTCTTCTTCATCATGCCTTTCTTGGCTATTCTTTCAGGCACTGATTCTTCTATATAAATTTTCAGATTGTTTTAACCAATTAAAAAGACTCCGGGCAGATCAGTGGTTGCCTAGGAATGAGACGGAAGGGATGACGGATCACAAATGGCAATGGGGTTTTGGAGGAGACGCGATTGTTCTCCTGACAGTGGTGGTGGTTACACAGGTGCAAGCAGACATCAAAACTGATGAATTGCACACTTGAAGTGTGCCCATCAATACCCTGGGGCTATCTTTAAGTCTACGCTAGAGTGCAACCAGGACTTTGGGAATTTGGCAAATGAGTAGGTGGTTATGTTGAAACTAAGAATCTTTATCTTCCTTCTTTATAAAATTAAATAAACACTTGACCCCATATTGATAATTTGGTTCATTTGGTATTAATGAGTGCTGCTGGCTAGACGTTTCTCCTTGGATGGCTTCCCAGGTACCCCAGCAGCTTGCAGTGAGTTTCCCACAAATGCTTCCATGGCACACCCACTGCCCAGGGTGGTTCATGGCAGAGTGCCAGAGGGTGAGGCAGCCATGAGTGGATTTCCCTGGACACACCCCCTCGGTGGCTTCACAGTGGCGTGCCAACAATGGGGTGCCCATCAATCACCTTCCCTCAAGCAGTTTCACACAAGAGAGCTGCCAGCCAGGCTCCTCCTCTCACAGGGCTTCTGTAGCACGTCTTGAGGTAGCCTGTAGGGTTCTGAGGTGGGGTACCTCCCTCCCTTTGGACAGCTTCCCACAGCAGACAGTGGATTTCAAGCAAGTTCAGCTGGGGAGGCACCTCAGGAAACTTCTCTGTAATCCAGTGAGTCATGCCCACACCCTCTCCAATGGGGTCTGGAGTTTAGCTCCGGGAGGGGCTCTCTCCCAGTCCCAGGTGTGGTGAGAGCTGCCTATATCAGCCATTCCTCTATTCTTTAGAGTCCTCTTATTAGCCAGTTCCCCAGCACCCTTGTTCATAATTCTTTATCCTAAACTTTCTCTGTACAAATTACTGTGTGGTTTTGTCTTCTGATTGGACCCTGACTGACACACAGATTGAGAACACAATTCTGCAGCCAACATCAGCTATCTTTCACGGTAAAGGAAGGATGACTGAGAAGGTGGTGCCAAGAGCCCAGAGGAACCAAGAGCCGTGGAGATGGCCCCCAATGATCCCCGAGTCCTGGTACTCATGCTGCTGCATAGTCCCCTCCCACATTGAGGGCTGACCAATAAAACAGTGCAGGAATGACAGTGTCAAGATAAGTCATAGAGATTTTGTAGCTTCCACCTTACGTGATTTGGTGGAAGTTAGGTGCTATGTCATGAGAATACTGTAGGAGCCCCATGGAGAAGTCCACATGGTGAGGAACTGAGGCTCCTGCCTGAATTCAGTGAATAGTTGAGACCTCTCACCAACAGTCTGGAAGGGAGATGTCTCGGCAGGAGATTATCCAGCCCCAGTCAAACCTTCAGATGACTGCAGCCCTCATGGACATCTTGACTGCACCTCAACTTGCGTGACCCCGAGCCAAACCATCCCACAGAGCTGCTCCCAAATTCCTGACCCAAAGAAACTATGAGATACTAAGTCATTATTATTTTAAAGCCACTAACTTTGGGGGTAGTTTGTTATATAGCATTAAATTATAAACACACATAGTCTCAAAGTATCTCCCACAAAATGCATATTACTTACAAAGGGAAAACCAGTAACTTTACAATGGAGAAACCTGAAAAATACCACTTGAACCAAGTGATCTGAGTTAATATGAGCAGTAATGAGATATAACAAAAGCTCACGCCTCCCAATGTGATGTACTGAGAATGGCACACTGTCATTTCTTGATGTTCTCACCAAAAACGTATAACCTTCACTTAATCACAAAAAAACCATCAAGAAAGACAAAACTGAGGGAAAGTCTACAAAATAACTGGTCATAAGTCTTCAAAAGTGTCAAGATCATGAAAGATAAAGACTAAGCAATTGTCCCAGAGTAAAGAAGATGAAAGAGACATGACAACTAAATTCAACGCAAGACCCTGGATTGGATCCTCATCCAGAAAAAGAATATTAGTAGGACAACTGATGAAATTGAATGAGGTCTGTAAATTAGTTAATAGTATAGTATCAATGCTAATTTCCTGATTCTCATGGCTGTATTATGGCTGTATCATATGTTTATGTTAGAGGAAACTGGATGAAGAGTATATGGGAACTCTGTACTGATTTTGTAACTTTTTTATAATCTTGAAATTATTTAAAGTTAAAAATAATTAGTATCACTTAAGAATGAAGGTGAGAAATATTTTCAAATATCAAAAACTGAAATAATTCTCTACCAGCAGACTATAATAAAGAAAAAAACTATAAGATGTTCTTCAGGCAGAATGAAAATCCTAATTGGAAGCTCAGAGATATCGGAAGGAATGAAGAGTACGAAAAAAAGTAAATCTCAATGTGGGTACATCCTATCGACTACTGACTACATAGAAAGCAATAATAATATATTGTGGGCTAAAATATACGGAATTCAAATATGAGAATAATATCATGTAAATTGAGAAGTGTTTACAGTTAAAAATATTCTAAGATCCTTGCATTGTCTAAGAAGAGGGTGAAATTCTTAAACAACATTAGTCCTTGATCAACGAATGTCACACTTTTTCATGTCTATATAACCACTAAAAGAAAAGCAGAATGTTCTATAACTTCCAGAATAATGGGGGAAATAGAATAATAATTGAAAAATAAACAATCAATCCAAAAGAAGAAGAGAATGAAATAGAAACAGAAATCACCAGGGAAAAAAGAGTAGATATATAATACAATTCCAAATAATACATCCAGAAATCACCAGGGAAAAAAGAGTAGATATATAATACAATTCCAAATAATACATAATTCCAAGGATATCAGTACTCATGTCAAATCTAAAGTTTAAAATTTAATTAATATAATTAATACGGAATTAATATACAATTCCTAATATAGCCGTATTTATATTAAATCTAAGCAGATAGAAGGTCCAAATAAAAACAGAAAGATTCTCAGACTGGATAAAAATATATCCAGTTGGACTACACGCTGTTGACAAAGACACATCGGCAACATCAGGAACAGAGAGGCTGAAAGTAAAAGGCTAGTGAAGGATGGATCGTGCAGACATGAATCAAAAGACGAATGCTGTAACTGCACTAATTACAAAGGAAGTCAAGTTTAAGGCAAAAAGAGCTGCTAGATAAAAGAAAGGACATTTACTTGATGGGGAAACAAGGGAGGTGTTCTCACTGAGGTCAGGATTAAGACAAGGTTACCCACCATGTCTCCACCAGTCCAATCATTGCATTGGAATTATTAGCCAATATAATTAGGGGAGAGAACAACAAAAAGATAAAAGGAAAATATAAAATATCCCTATTTGCAGATGATGTCATTGCATACCAGAAAAATACAAAAGATTCCATGGACAAACTGTAACCGCGGGCCCTCCAGGACCAGCTCAACCAACCCCATCTCTTGTCAACACAGTGACTAAGAATTGCCTTTCAGAAAATCTGCAAAGTCACATAGCCAGGGCATGCCCAAAAGAAGAAATTGTGACCTGAAACACCACAGAACCAAAGATTCTTCTTCCCACGGAACCCAAGGACCAGAACAGGGATGGAGCTCAAAAGTTGGACTCTTATTAGAAGCGAGGGGTCCCTCATTCAGGAAGATCCAGAGTTAGCATTCTTTTCCTACCTCACCAAAAACGTCAAGAACCCTATGATAAAAGTTTAGAATCTCATCATGAAAGTTTAGAACCCTGACATAAACGTTTAAAACCTTACCATAAATGTTTGAAGCCCACCAATCAAAGCCTGCATTTCTGTGTGCCAGCCTATTCTCCTTAACCTCTTAAATTTCACCCCAAATCCTGAACTGGGAAGACAGATCTGAGGACACATGCTCCCTGTTCTCCCTGCAGATCAGTCTCACAGAATAAAAGCTGATCTCTTTTTCCAAAGGCCGATGCCATAATTAATTGGATTTTCTTTTAATGCATGTGGTGCAAGAGAACCCCAACTTTGTCCGGCAACAAAACTACTTAAAAAACGAGAGAATTTAGTAAGACAGCAGGATATAAAATTAACCTAAAAATCAGTAGCCTTCATATAGTCATATAATAACTGATTGGAAGAGAAAAATCCCACTTATAGTAGAAACAAAAAAGAAAAAATACCTCATTGTAAAATTTAAAAGAATTGTGTAAAACTTTTTATAAGAAAAACTTTTAAACACTTCTGAAAGATATAAAAGTGGATTTAACAAATGAAAAAGTATACCATGTTCTTCGATAAGATGACTCAACATCCAAAGAAGTCAATTCTCTCCAAGTCGATTCATAATTTACAGAATTTTCTTCTGAAACTAGATATATTAATATGAAATTCATATGGAAAAAAGTAAACAAGCAAGGATAACCAGGAAAACCCTGAGAAGAGTGATGAAATTGGGGGTACTGGCCTGCCAGATACTAACATGAGCCATGAAGCCTCTATCATTAAAACAGTGTCATTGTGGCATGTGGACAGGCTTACAAACTAATGCAGCACATTAGAAAGTCTGGAAAACCCAGGTAATTATGACAGTTACTGTATGACAAATGATAAATATGAAATCTTGGACTTTTTAATAAATGGTGTTGGAACACCCAGATAGCCATTTGGGGAAATGTAAACTTGAATCCATGCCTTATAACGTACAACAGAATAAATTCCAAACGGATCAAAGATTTAAATGTAAAAAATGAAACCATTAAAAATATTAGATTGGGGAAAACTTTTCTATTGCCCAAAAGAGAATTGTTTTACATCTATGTTTTGCATATACAGAACTGTTCTACATCTAAGGAGAAACAGAAAAACTAAATGCAAAATCTGGACCTCAACTGAATCCTAGTTTGAACAAACCAGGAGTAAAGTATATTTTGGGGACAATGGGGGAATTTGACTCCCGTGGACTTGGTATTTGATGATAGTAAGGAATTATTAATTTTGCTTTGTGTGATAAATATATTATGGTTAAGCAAGAAATCATTTTTTAAGCAATGCATACTGAAGAAATTTGGGGTGGAATATCATGTTTTTAGCAAAAATAATTGTCGAAGTGATGCTGGTATATTATTATAGGAACTCAAAAAGTCTCTGAATACTTCTAGTTTGGGAAGCTCATTGTCTTTTTGTCCTCATCACAGTTAGGAACTACTTTAAATTATAGTCTGGATTTTGTCAGAGAAAATATCATTCTAAAGAATGCCAAAAATGGCACCTGAGTCAAAGTCTAACCAGTGGACTTGCACATCCAGCCATGCTTTATGCAGTTTAGTACCTAAGCAAAGTGGCCAGCATCATCCCGTCAGCCAGCCCGGACAGCTACCAGGTGTTATTTGCAAAACTGAAGGAGAAAATAATTCCTGCTGAGGACAGGAGGAGGCCTAGGAGCCAGATCTGAAGACAGTAAACCGTGGGATTGTCGGAGAGGAGTCCCGAAAGGGGTGTGTGCCCAGAGCTTTCTCAGCCTCCTAGACCCTGGGGAATCTGTGGCAGCCCTGAGAAATGAACACAGAGGTCAGGGGGCTCCTCCACTTTCAAGACTCTACAGACGAGAGGCCCAGGCCAAGGATGGAAAGGATAGGCAGGAGGTGCTTTCTGGACCTGCTGGAGAGCAGACCAGGATGCCTGGAGAGGTGGGGCCATTCCAGGAGCAGGAAGGACTGTGAACATAACTCCCCCGACAAGTCCTGGGGAGAAGTGGGGTGCTGGGCACGGATGAGTAAGGGAGTGTGGGGGGCAGAACCAGAGAAACTATTTCGTCACCGTGATCCTGTCTTATTCCCAGGCTGCTATGACTTGGCAGAACTTGGTCATGCCAGAAGAAATCCTTTCTCAGGGTTGAAAGTCAGTCCAAGGAAGGAGAAAAGATGCAGACTCACCTCTTCCAGGGCAAAGGTCACCACTCTGCTTGACAGGAAGCATCACAGATGGTCAGCCAGCTAATCCCCTGCAGCCTTGGGCCTTTCTTAGAAAGACTGACCCATCAAAGTCCTAGAGGTAGTTGTAAGCTCCTAGAAGTTTCCTTTGACAATGTATTGATATTTGCTGTCACCTCCCAGCCTGAGGTTTAGATATTTAATTTGAAGAGGCTTTATTTTCTTTTTCAAAAACTCTTAAGCTGTCTTGTGACACATGGCCTAGGTGGTGACACTGGGCCTCAGTCCCATATCTGCTCAGCAAGAAAGCATTACCAGGGACCCAGATGGGCCACTTCTCAAGCCCCAACTCTCCAGCATCATGGATTTGTCCCCATTTAGGCTTATAAAACACATAACCATTTATTAAATACTCAAAGAGAAAAAAAAAAACCACTACACTTCCCAGCTTGCACCCAACTACTGAGAATCTGAGAACAGTAGGGGTGTGGCCTTGAGATCCAAGCATCAGAGGAAGAGATATGCTTCCCCTGGAGAACTGAGCTGTAATGGGTTCCAGACCGCTACCTGCCCATTGTGCAAGCCTTTTTTTTGAAGACTCAGGGTTATGTTAAGTGCTTGGGATGTTTTGTTGTCATTTGCTTTTCAAGAAGTCAGATCGGATTTTCTTCATTGAGCAAACTCCAGCAGGAGAGAAGGTACACATTTTTAAGATGATCTCTGTCATACTCTGGTCAACTTACTTGTGGAAGGAAAGGGAGAAAGGAAGACACTGTATATTTTGGCATGTGACAATTTCTGTAG